GGGGGGAGGGGTTGGAACCGTCAATTTTACAAACGGGGCACCGGAACACTTTCGGATCATCTTATGACATTGATCTCCAATGTCATGGAAACCGGCCACTAATTAAATATACTCTTTTTCATCCTAGAAGTTTTACTCGTATCATTTATTTTTTTCATCCATCTCAAAATAAATTTTTTCACTTTTTCTAATACATGGTCCAATATACTTCTCTAATACTTCCTCCGTAAATTATTAGTAAAAAAATATGATGTGATAGATATATTAAGAATGAATAGCAGTATATGTGATTTTTTAATTGGAAGAAAAATGACTTTGTGGGGCAAGAAAAAAAGAAAGGAGAACGTGTTTTTGGAACAGAGGAAGTATATATATTTTTAAAAAACTTCCAAAAAGAGTCACGTTTATGTAATGTATTTATTTTATGACCTACCAAAATAATTCAAAGAAAAAGGGCATTATTTATTCTCTATCAAAAATGGGAAGATACTAAAATAAGAGTAAAACATAATGATCTTTTTTAGAAGTATGATTTAAAAATGATTTAATTATTTATTATCATTAACTTTAATGATCTTTTATTACTATAGCCATCAATTATTGAACTAATTTGTTTTCAATCTTTATAACTTAATAATACAGTACTCGTCCGCATAGGTAGCTCAACTCGTCCAAAGAGAAGCTGATTTACTTCCCTCACAATCCTGTCAGGCCGGCCGGGGTGTGGGGTGTCCGAGGGGGGCGTTCCACCTTTTTTTAATAATATAGTACCCCGTATTAATAAAATTAGTGGCATTGTTTATGAGTGGTGCTAAATTCACCCCTTGTTTTGCTAAATCCACTTCATTTATAGTAAATCGACAGCTTTACCTTTCACTTCTTTCTTTCCATTTTCTAAACATTAAGTGTAAACTTGTCCATTTCAAATAAAAAGGGGTGGAATGGTGGATATAGCCAAATGAGAGGTGGGTTTAGCAACAGCCATTCTTTATATAGTCAATATTCAACTAACTTCCAACGCAAAACCTATTTCCTCTCAGGACCGTATAAAACCTATTTCCTCTCACGACCATCAATTTTGAAGATCCCATCATCTATATAAATGCAAAGTATCCTCACATATTTCCCAGCAATAAAAATAAGTCTCTTTCACAAGAAAAAAAAATCATTAATAAATTAAAAATAAAATAAAATAAAATGGAGTCTAAGAAACTCATCATTGTTCTTGTGTTGTCATGCATGTTGTTATCCATTGCAGAATGTCAAGTGTTATCTGATTCTCCAATGGGATCTCCATCATCTGCACCTGCATCTTCACCATCAAGTGGTGTTTCATCACCTGTCTCTTCTTCCATGGAAGCTGGAGCTGCTGATGCAACCTCAACATTTGAAAAATTGAAAAGAAAAATAATATCTTGATTTATATATTTATTTTTAAAATCTATAGTTATTTATTTTTTGGTTGAAAGGTGAAAACATGCAAGGACATGCCTTTCTAACATCATTTTTTTTCTTTTAAAATTTCAGAATATTTTTTTTCCCTTTTGATACCTTTATAGTTTTTAAAAGATATATGTGGGCATTTATGCCTTTTAAATAATAATAATAATTATATATAATAATAAGAATAAAAACATTTGAGGTGTAGCTAGCTTAAGTGATCAGATCAGAGCGCTCTATGGAAGTTGAGGTGTGGAAGTCAAGTTTTCTCTTCTATATGTGTTAGGTGTGTAGGTGGAGAGGGATGGGCTACCCCATTATATGTTAGCCCACAAGTACATCTATATAGACTCTCATGTTTGTGAGATATTTATTCTCCCTGATTAATAAAAATAATTCTCATGTTTATTGTTTTTGTTATTGTTGTTATGAGAAAATCGAACGTTGGCAAACGCAAGTGAAGAAATTGGAACTTGCATCACAACACAAACAAAAAGTTGAATGATTATAACTAACTAAAAAACATAATGCTCAATGTTTAAAATAAATCCATGAACTTTGTGAAAACTAGCAAATCAACGACCCTCTCATATTTTAAAATCGGTGCGGGCTCGAAAGTGGTAACCACCCCTCCCCACAAACCCCCCACGTTGTGACCTCTATATTAACAAGGCTCTGATACCATCTCAATGAACCAACTCAATTAGCCCGAAAGTAGTTACTCATGCAATTACTAGCTATTCTAAAATTGAAGCTAAATCTCTTTTCTTCATTTGATTTGATTGTATTAACATGGCTAATGATTGCCTAAAAAAACATGGCTAATGGTCAAAGAGTATTGCTTCTAGACAAATGGAAAGATGATCAAAACGAGGATAAGGCCATTCATACCTACAAAATGCTCTACACCTCAGTTAGCGATTCCGTGCTTTCCTACGCCGAGATTCAACCTTCTGCCACTTCTTCCTTGGTACCACTTTGCTCTTCGGTTTCAACTTCATTTCGGGAGAGAATTTATAGTTTGGGTCTCGCATACGAGCTTGAATGTCCTTAAAGAACTGCATATTCAGCTTCTTAGGTCCTCCCTGCCTGAGTTCTGCATACTCTGGCCCTGAAATGATGTTCTCAAAAGCACCAATTAGAATGTCCAGATCACTCATGACCTCCCACACATTTACATATCGACCATCGGGTCCTTTCTTCAACTTCTTAAGGGCATTTTCAACTGCAAGTTTCCTTGCTTTCTTCCCGGGTGATAACTCGTCCGGTTCCTCCTCGTCTTTCAGTGCATCAGAGAGTTTTCGAAACTTGGGTTTTTCATCAAACTCAAAAAGTTTATCAATGTATTCGTCGCTCTTCTCATGTGGGTAAGCTTCTGTGGGAATGTCATCTTCATCATCTCCTTCACTGCCAGTCCATAGTGACTTCTCATCATCACTGCCAGACCACACACTCCTCAGCTCATCACTGTCGTCTGCATCAATGCGGTCCGAGCGTTCAACAGCTCTTTGCTTGGCCTTTCTGATTTCCTTCTTCAGAGAACTCGGTTCATTTTCATGGTCGCTCTCATCCTCGCTTGCCGTCCATAGACACCCATCCTCGTCTTCCATTTCTTTAGCCCAGGTCTTCCTAAATTCTTTGGCCCCAGGCACACGACCCCCGAATAGATCATAATGGCCTCTATTGCGAGCATACGACCGCAACGCTGCAAAAAGAGTAAGGAATGAGTTGAAAGAATCCACGCGATTGGCTGCTACTGCAGAGAACCAGACACTGAAAAAAGTTGCAGTTTTTCATTGAGGACTTTTGACAAACAGGTGGTGGCGTATAGAAAGAATTGAAGCAAACCTTGGAAACAGGGGAGATGGTGGGTGGAAGAATAAGAGGAAGAAGAAGAAGACCCATCACGGAAAGGGTTAGAGGAGCTTGAGGATCTGTGTGCGATTGTGAAGAAGATGGAGGGAGGCGAAGGCAAACGGTAGAGCCTTCTGGCTATCATTTTCGGGTACCCCTAAGAGGGACTGTCAAAATATAGAAATCAATATTTTAAAAGGTGAAATTAATTGATGAAATAAATTTAAAAGGTGAGAAAAATTGATATACCTCCTCAAATAAAGAAGGTAAAGACACATCTTCAAAATTGAAGAAGGTATAATACCTTCTTATTTACCTCTCCCATTGAAATGTAATTTTTAATGAAAAGAGGTATATATCACAAATATTTTTCTTTACCCTTTCATATATCTCTCCCATTGGAGTGCTCTTAGACGCCTAACATTTTCTTGAGGGGTAAATTATTTTTGGACTTCTTTGCAAATCTTTAAAAATGTGGGATCATTTAAAACAAATAGAGAAAAGCCAACTCCACTTCAATTTTGATTTATTTTTAAACTCTAAACTTTTAAAATTAATTTTCATTGTTTTAGAAATAAATTTTTTGAAAACTAAGTTTTAAAATACCCCCTTCATTTCATAAAACGATTCCTATTTTGACTTTTAGGAAAAACAATGAGTGTATATTTGTGGTTGACTTTCCAATTATACCTTTTATGTGATGGATAAAAGTGAAATGTGGTGGGTAGAATATTAGTAAAAAATATGATATGATAGATGTGATAAGAAAAAATAGGGATAAAAGTGGTTTTTAAATACAAAATGAAAGTGTTTTAAAGAAAACAAAAAAAATAAAAGAGGAAGTGTTTTAAGAAATGAATAGAGTATAAATTAACAACTTTCATAGTGCCCTTTCTGCTGGAGCAAAATTTAGTGAATATAGAGAAAAAGGTGTACTTTCACTTTGGAAAAGTGTATGGGGTGGTAATCTTGTTTCGAAAAAATATTGTAATTCTGTTTTCTCAATCTTACTAGTGTCGTTTGGGAAACAAAATGTAGTGAATTATCAAGAGAAAATTTAGTGCATTTAGAAAAATATTGTGGTTCCATTTCAATAACTTTTGTAGTGCACTTTTAGAAACAAAATATCATGGAGAGAAATTTGTAAAAATATTGTAGTGCCATTTTGAAAATAAAAGAAACACTATTTCGTCAACTATTTGATAATCACTTTCTCTTGCTTAAAATTATAATTACGTGACCTCGAAAAGAGAAGATCATTTAAAATAATTTTCCCAAAAGATAACGTTGAACAAATTATACCAATGATTCACTCAGCACAAATGTGCAAAGAAGATGAGTAGAACATTCAGTCATTCAATAGCTCTGACCTAAATGTGCTTGACTTGCTCGTAAATGTATTCTCAATCAATGTTGTCAAGACATTCTATGATGAGTTCACACCACAAACACTAAAGAGCATAGATGAAAGCCAACTTCACTTAGTTCATAGGTGAGGACTAACATGATCTCAAGTATGATAATGTATGGAAAAGCATGGAGTGGTTTTATAGTTACTATTCTGGTATGTAGGGCCATAGATTGGAATAGTACATTATCAAAGACATTTTCAATTGAAGCATGTTCACTGTCCAAATTTGAAAAGCATAGCACAACAAAAGTGGGACAACTTACAAAAAAAATTGTGAGCTAGTGACCTACACGAATAGGGGTTGTTGGCCTACACATGGATTTAGGGTCATATCTTAAGGGAGAGATGAAATTGCTTGCATTTGAGGATAATTTAAGATATGACTTGACATCTTCCACAGAAATACATGAAAGGTGAAAATTATGTTTCGCAATGGAAAAGCAAGGATGAAGATGACGAACCGTTATTGAGATCTTCGCTTAGAAGCACAAACAGGACTACAAACTCAACAGACTCAATCATAGGGAGGAGGCAGCAGGAAAACAGTCTAGGGGTCAGAAAGAGGAGCCGGTGTGGTAAACGAGCAATGAGAAATGCACGAATAGGAAACGGAAGCCTAAGGATATGGCACGCAAAAAGGAGGGGGTAAGAAAAGGCCAATGAGTTAGGAGGAAAATGGGGTAATAAATTGAAATGTAGTTAATGGCAGTGTAGACCTCTCTGCTTCAAATTATATATATACCAAGAGTAATAATGCAAATTTGATTGTGGGGATATCATGAAAATGATGGTGAGAACTTAACTGGGAGATGGGAGTACAAAAAGAATCAAAACTGGAAGGGGAGACCCCAAAACTAAAGATAAATCAATTTAAAAATAAGGCAGTTAACCAGCACTGCAAAATTTGATGAACTTCATATTGAAGTCACATATATACAAGTTACAAGTACAAATAAAACCCTTATAAAACATTTAAAAAAAACTTCTTTGAATCAAAACAGTGTACAATGTGTTGCAAAGATTTTGTCTCCAAGAAGGAATCAATTTTCATTTCCTTAAGTTAACTCATATCCTCACAAACTTGAAAAAATAAATCCACTTCTTTGAATAATCAGTCATCCGAAAAAGAAGTCACAGTTGGTAATAGTAACAAAAGAAAAGAGACCATGCAGATTATAATGAACCTGTGGGTGGGATCTAAGGTGACTCGGTGGAGAGGGGTCAGGAGCCATCTTGCAGTGAATCATATATATCACAGACCTAGTTGAACGCCTCAAGTGTTGACTTTTTTGCACGTGTCCGGTTTCTTTAAGCTGATCCAACTATGCTTATGTGAGAACTTGGGCATGGCTATCAGCCATTATTGTGCACCTTGATGTGTTCATTAGCTTCTCTGTAAGCATCTTCTTTAGTGTCTGGCCTCGCAAACCATTCCAAAATGCAGCTGCATTTACCACTTTTTTGCCAGGGAGTTGAACTTCCAGTACCTGAAACACCACCCCCCAGCACAACACTTAGTGTCATTGTGTTTTGTAAGGAACTAAGTAAGATTGGTTGGCTAAAAACTAGTTTAAGTTTTTTTTAAAGCAACATTTTATTAAACCAGATGCATTATCTGTTGAGTACGTCTTTTGTTTTGTTTTTTATGTTGAGTTGTTTAACAAATGTCAAATTCATTACAAACATAGATTGAAAATGATGAATTGCTTTTATTCCAATATATTGCAAGAAGCCACTGTTTGACCAAAGTTTCAATTTACGGAGAATCTGTTGCTATAATATCGGAAAATTTGTTTTTTTAGTTCCTCCCAGTTAGAAATTATCATAAAATAGATGGAGGAACTAAAAGCACATCACTCAAATTGTGGGAGTGAGATATGAGATATGACAATTGATGAGCTTTGGAAAAGTGTATAGTTCTTCCACTTCCTCCCATTTCCTTCAAACCCCTCCAACCAAACAAGGCCTTAGGCTATCATGCACCAACAGTATCACTCTTACTCGCAACTGTCTCACGAAGGTCAGATAGCTAAAACCTAAGACGACACACGAGCTATATGACACTATGACAGCATCATAGCCATCTATGCTTTTACGGTTTGGAGTAGGACAAGCAGAAAATCTCAGTTCACCATACATACTTGCATGACTTAAATGTGATTTCATCAATGCAAATATAGAACTTTTTGTTTTAGGTTCTGTAAAAGTATTTGTCAATCATCTTTGTGATGTATCCAAAAAGGCCCTCCGTGATCTAGATTTTCCACATCATTATAAAATAGCATAAATCAAAATTGGGAATAGTGAATGTATCTTAGTCCCAACTCCCCTAATAATTGCTGTAATTTATAGAAAGTTGAGGTGTAACGACCAGACCGGATATTTGTAAGCCTTGGCAGTTTTATTATTCGCGAATGGAGCCTGATGGAGACTAAAAACAGACAACGTAAACTATAGTGATGTATAACTAAAAATAATAATTTTAGATGTGTCTAAAACGAAAATGCTATATTTCCCCAAATGAAAAAACATTTTTAAGCCTAGTTATATCAATGACTGCAACTATAATGTTGGTCTACAGACAGGTTAAATGCCATCAATTGCCATGTACATTTCATAAGAAGAATTGGAAAGAGAGAAGGCATGGAACCTCACTTCAAGTGATGTGCTCCCACCACATGGAACTATCAGTGATCCATTGCTGAAGAACAGCTCATCAGTTTTACCATCCTGAGTTATTCTGCCGCTGTAAACTCTCGTGGTGATGATTTTCAGCTCTATAATGCTACTCTGGTTGCTTCTAGAATCAAAAACCGCAAGTCTAGCTCGAGTTCCAGGCCACCCAGAAAATGCTCGAACCTAAAAGCTACCATGACATGTCACTAATTACTCTGCAAGAAAAAGAAAAGTTATGAATTTTTTACCTTGTGGTGAATGGTGCTTGCCTCTTCGTCAAAGGATAGCCACGACTCATCAGGACATATCTGTGAGACAACCAAGAAATCACCACTACTAAACCACATCTTATATGCAGAACAACTTGTCAGACTTCACCCATGACAAACTTTAAGGGCCCGTTAGCTGTAAGATTTTAGTTTTTAATTTTGCATTTTAAAAAGACATGTAATATAGGCCAGGTCGTACAATCAACTGAAATGTATGCGTACTTATACTAATGTTGATTCTGAAAAATGCCTACAAAAAAGATGCGGGATTTCTTATCATGTTTTAAAAACTCGAGAACAATGACAGAAAGCAATAAGGGAGAGAGCTTATTTGGAATTTGGGAGAGCTAAAGTGAATGTTAAGGAGAGCTTATTTGGGATTTGGGAACAGGGAGTGTGACATATTTTAAGCTCGAAATAAGCTCATAGTTACGTTTGGTGAACAAAACAGGCTCTTGTTTCAAGCTACCTTTCATAGTGAGAGAATTTAGAATTGGATTCATGAGACTAAACTGGGTCATAAATCATACTCCATAATAACTCTTTATATAATGATAATGCTCTTGTGCAAAATAACTCCAGTAAGCCATTTTTATTCATAAAAATAATCTTTTTATAGCCTTTTTGGAATGGCCTAATTATATGTTCTCTGTAAAACTTGGCAAAACGCGATCAAAATTTTAGCAATTGGAGGCCGCCGTAAGTAATTCCATCAATAGGTTATATACCTTTGGAGCCAAGGTAGCTATAGAATCATCTTGTTCTTGTGCTTTAACCCTAGCCGATCCATCAAGAATTGAGGGAAGCTCTCGGATTAGAAGTTCGGATCCTACATATATATTGCTGGTGACGTAACTCAGCCCAGGGATGTTTAACTGTATAACTTAAATCTTGACTCAAACTAGAAACAAATGAAGAAATGAATGTGTATCATCAAGTGAAGCCAATAAAATAATAAAAAATGAATAAAAAGAATTTGACCTAGAGCAAAAAGCAGCTCAAGTAATTCTGGAGCCTGCAGAAAGAGATTTAAACCAGGTCGGAAAATCACAACTGAAGCTAACAGTGTAAACTTCTAATTAAAAAGATTATATCCAATTTAAAAGTAAAGAAATTCTCATTCCAAGTCATGGGGCTGGAATGAACTTCAGATTCAAAGAGTGAAGAAAAATGGGAAACACAAAAAAAGTGAGGAAAAAATCACGAGACCTTTATTTTATCATCAATTTCCAATTTTTCATAGGCAATAACTGGTCCCGCATCAAGTTGGCGAACCGTATATGCTAGTGATACCCCAGTTTCTTTGACACCATCCTAAAGAAATAATATTCAAATTCTGCAAATGAAAACTGCATCTGTAATGCATATTACCAGATACTGCATCGTAAGAAATGAACCTGCAGCGCTCTTTGAACGGGGGCAGCACCGCGGTATAAAGGCAGCAGGCTTGGGTGTACATTGACTGTGCCTAGAAAAGTACATTACAAGATTGGTGGAACCGTGGAACTAAAAAAACATTCTTATGTCGATGCAAAATACATCCCAAAAGAATTAGTGAATCAACAGTCACTTCTCATTCAACAAATGGCTATATTTAGCATTTGAGGAAAGCATCACTTGTTGGAAAGTACATTAAGTAGTCCACTGATACCTAGTTACCTACTCATTGATACATGATGCACTTTATCCAATACATAGACAAGCTTTAAATAAAATAATCTCTTCACTGAAACAATAACTCTCTCTGTCCCAAAGACAATTATACTATTTTCCATTTTAGCTTTTAGGACATCCCATTTTTATTGTCTCCTCCTAAAATGGTCAAAACTGAGTGCACCAAAATAAAGATTTGTTCTCTTAGGTAGTGTTTGAAATCCAATAATTCAAATCTTTAGTTTGAATTCTTAGATTTCAATTCTAAAATTTGAATTATTTGATTTCAAATTACAAGGGCGATTGTATAGATTTGTGATTGAGCTTTGTTGGAATTAGAGGAATTTGGCCCAAATCCAAATTTTTTAGATTCACAAACATGTAATTTAAGTCAAGTCTAGCTATGAAATCAAAATCCAAGTTTGCAAATAGGTCATTAACAAATTTCATTACCAAAATCACAAAAAGAATGAACCAAATAAAAGATATTTTTTTCTTAACATTTGTGCCAAGGTTTTGACAGGCAAAAACTAGCCTCGAGGCGGTGGAGAAAAATGCCTTTAGGCAGAAGCCTCAAGGCGGAACGAGCAGTTCAAAATGAAAAAAATAATACTAAAATATGTACACCGAGGTAAAACGAAATGCATAATCCATTTTCATGTTAAATAAATAATAAAATCATAATTCCTGAATTTTACAAAAAATGATACCCTATCTTAATTCTTGAAACACACAAAAAAATAGAATTATAAAAATTAAACACAGTAACATAAAACACAAATCTCTCAAACCCATCTTCAAACCTTATAAATATTAAATATGGACAAGAGTTCACGCAAAAAAAGTTACATCATTCTTTGAACTTTGAAGTTTGAACCGAATTTAAAAGAGGGAGAGGGACATTGGAAAAGAAGGAACCGAAAAAATTAAAAGCTGAAAGAAAAAGATGAAAGAAATAGAGGATAAGCTATTAAATATGAAGCAATTACCTTAGCGGCAACCACAAGAGTGAAGTTGTGCCACAGAAGTCTGAAGATGGAGAGAAGTACGATTGAAGATGGAGAGACGAAAGTTGACGCTAGACTGCTAAAGTGTTGGAAAGAAGTGTTAATTATCTACTAGGTTTTTTGAGTTTTCTTAAGAAACTATATAGTGCATTGGCCCAAAAGAGTTTTTGTAAAAGAGGCCCAATAGCTTTTTAAAAATATCCCTTATAATTGTTGGAATTCTTACTAAAAGTGAGGCGGTTACGCCTTACCGCCTTGGACCACCTCAGCATTGTGAGGCGTACGCCTCAGGTATCCCTACTAAGGCGAAATGCAACCGCCTCGAGGCGGACTGCCTCAGTCGCCTTTTAAAACCATGATTTTGTGCTAATATGACGGAACTACATTTGGGTCAGAGAAAATAATACAGAAAATGAAGGGCAAAGGTCGTGTAAGGCTTAGTTTTGCAAGTGCTTAGAATGGTTTAACGCGTAAAGCTTGCCTTGAGGCATTTTTTTCTAGCAAAGTACCTGAGGCGGGTTTGAGCCTTTCCATTTTGAACAGAGATAGACACGTATGTGAAAAGGGAGTGTTGAAAAACATTTTTGTAAACCCTAATCCTAATAGGCTTAACCCAACTCTAAAGAGGGTCAACACTTTCAACCTAGATTATGTGTTAAAATAGTGGTAGTCTTGTACTCAAAGTTAATGAACATCCTTCACATATTATCCGATACTTTGCTATACTATCTTTTATTTTCATCAAATAATAAAAAAATCTCCAATGGAGCACTTTTGGGGAAGCAAAAATGACTTTTAATTGCGACAGATAACAAACATGTTGTCCTTGGTAAAAATTGTTTCACAAAACGTTAATCCTTGTGTGCAACCTTCTATAACATTATGAATGGTTTATGAAGAAACTAAGGAAATAGCTAGAAAAATTTACAAAATAGTGATAAAGATGTTTTTACTAACCCTTTGATGGGATGTTTAGAAACTTTGATGGCAAAATATTCCCATAAGCAGCGGTGACACAGAGTTGAGGTTTCAAAGCTTTAAGCTTTGAAAGAAAGGGTTCCTGTATTAAAAGCACTTAGTGTCCACATAAAAGCCAATTCTTTTTTTTGTCAAATAAAAATGGATACTCATCTCAAAAAGTAATTTATGACATCCAGTTTGTTGATGACTAGAGGTCGTGACTAATAGCATGATGCCATGATCATCATAATAACTTGTGTATTATGAGTCACGTAATTATCCTTATCTATATATCACTTCTTGTTTTCTTATGTTTGTGATTGTATATCCTTTTTCATTTTGCATCCATTTACAAAAGATAACAAAACCATAAAGTAGACATACCCAAAAATCACGAGTATGCAATATGGGTCCTTATAAAACGGCTAATAGTGTTAACTACATCGAAGGATGAATATGGTTTATAAATCCTAATAAGTATTACATCACGCAATATTGAGCCACTTGGCACTACTCCGTACTAAACTAACAGTTTGACTTTGATCCACATATATATAGTCATGGAACAGCAGCCTTAATATGTTAACTTACCTATAGAAATATATTCTATTAAAATGAATAAGGGAAACAAATACTTGATGAATTGATAAAGCACCGCATCATGAAAAACATAAAAAACGCTTGCAAAAATTGCAATTAAAATATTACCTCACCTGCCTTCACTGGTGTGAAAATCAAATCGGAAGCATAGCCTCTTTCAAGTGCATGGTGTGCAACTGGCGAAGGCATAACTTTCCTTCCTCTATCTCTTCCAGAGGGAGGCTGAGTGACAATTGCAGAGACCTGAGGATCAATAGTCCCCAAGCTCACTCCTTACACAATTTTTTATTCTAAAACTCAACTCACGAAGGACATACTTAAGATCATGTCAACAACAACAATTTGTTATTCTATAACTCAACTCATGAAGAGCATACTTATGATCATGTCGACAACAATAAGAATTAAGCCTAACATTAAGTAATGTGGGGCTGGGTACATGAACCAAGAAAAGAATAACATTCTGTCATTAACAAAAATGTTCTCTTGCCTTTTCCTTTTATTCATAGTCACACTCTTCTCTAAACTCAAATAAGACAAATAACTCCTAACCAAACCCTCCAAAGTATTTTTGGCTCTCCCTCTTCCTCTTATGTTATGATACTGTCCAAATAAATTAAATTGAGTCCTGCTAGCCTCCTACTTATACACTTCAAAAGTACCACATTCACAGCCTTTAAGGATTAAGCACGCACCCTAAAATTTCATTAAATACACTTGTGCACAAAATGAATTACTCCTAAAAATTGCCTCCAACTTCTCTAAATCCCATCATACTTATGATCCTATCTACTTTTGCACCTAAAAATTTCACTATGGAAAGTATTATACTCTGTATCATTCTTGAAACTAGAAGAAATTACTTTTATGCTTTAGTCTGTAACGTGCGTTTGTGTTTTTGTGCTTTATGCTTTATGACTAGTTCTTAGAGTCTGATTGTAAGCTTCTTTTATCTATAATCGTACTTTTTCGTGTTTCAGTTCATACTTCTATATCTGAGCCCGGGGGTCTCTCGAAAACACACTCTCCGCTGACCCTACTTTTGTGGGATCCTCTTGGGTTTGTAGTTGTTTTTAACCAAAATGACACTTGCTGTGAAATGGAGTGAGTAAAAAGCATTCATGTGAATTGTAAATAGCATGTCATTGTTGACTACAAAGCACAACCGGCCTAGAGAAGTTGTAGGCAATTTTTGTTGAGTGTTACTTCAAAGTCCCACATCGGTGGGATAGGAAAATTGAGGAGGGATTGGAGCCTATAAATAAAGAGGAGATATAGGCTTCCATCACACAACACAATCCTTCAATCTATATAATTGTGTATTAGATTTTAGGTTGTGAGTGTCAAATATTGAAGAGGGTTTGTAATTTTTCCGTGCAAAAATTACTAGTGAGATTTTATCCCAGAAGGGGTCGTGGAGTAGGTCTTGAGGTGCCGAACCAAGTTAAAAATTGTGTGCTCCTTTTTTTTTCCTTTTCTTTCGATTTGTTTGGAGTGGGGGCCTAACAAGTGGTATCAGAGCTAAGGTGCAGAGCTCGGGTGATCTGGTAATTATAATTCTTAGTATGCCCTGTGGTTGCAGCTTTGACTGATCTTCCACATCAGAAAAGAATTATTAATTACAGAGTTGCAGTCTAGGG